CAAAATGTTAATGTAACTGTTTATTATAAACTTAAGCCTTTGAGCTTAAAGTAAGGTAAACTTAAAGGTAATTAAATTAAAAATAATAGTTTCCATATGTATATATATATGTGATTAAGGCCTAAAGGGTGCTCCTTTGGACACAAAACAATAAATTGCAAAGATAAACCATATTAGTAGACTTATATTAGGAGCATAGACCCTAAAATCTTCTTAATTAATCTTGTTTTCACTCTAATTGTCTATGATTAGGTAAACTAAAAGGAATAAGCAGTCTCGGTATGCTGTTTATATTTTATTTAAAAAATTTGGTCTGTAATAACTAATTTGATAAATCCCTTATAAGAGCCACTTGAAGTATATCTAGGAATTTATTAAATTCTTCTAAATGAATATCAACTCAGTTTTCTTATTTTCTATTTTAAAGTAGTAAATTACGTTTAATGTTATAAGTTTTAAGTTTGAAAACATTGGAATTTTTATAAGGAACATAGTAAAGTAAAAAATTTGTACATTTATAATAAAAAAGAAGCTTATAGTGTTCTAAATAAGAAAAAAAACTAGGTATTAAAAGAGAATCCTTTCTCCTTAAGTTAACTAAGATTTTTTTTATAAATATTATTTTTCTGTTACAATAAAATTTCTTGACTTCCCACCACTTTACCTTGTAAATTTTGAAGTTAATTTCAAAGTTTTAATTTGGTTTTTTAACCTCATAGAATTTATTAACAATAAGTTAATCTCTTAGTCACCCAAATTAAATAACTTTGATTAATTTACTTTCTTTCTAACAACAGAACTACAACCGCTTAAAATATATACCGGTTGTGCTCGAAAGAAGATACCAGAAAATAACTTATTTAAATATTTTAAACTCAAGTTTTATATTACGAATAATATGATATGTATATTATAAATAATTTATAATTTTTGGAAAGTACATAGATCGTTAATCATTCAATATATATAATAAATAGTAAGAAGTTCTAAAGTACTTTTGTGGTCAACCCGACCGGAAAGTTGTAACGCTTTATACATAACGCTATCGCTTTTAAAGTATATATACATATAACTAAAGTAGCAGGACATAAAAGAGCAATTGCCAAAAAAAAAAAGGATAGATTTGAATATAACGGGCTGACTGTTTGCCTGGACATGCTTTCAAATTTGCGTTATCACTAGAAATACTCAAATTCCTAGTTAACTTATTAGCGCCTGCTCTCCGTTTGAATGGATCTTTATTTAGTGTAACTTTCCGTTTTATTTGAGATAACTTAAAGTTTCATTGTATGCAAAATCTTCTTTAAACTTTACTTTATTCGTACTAAGAATTACTTTGAAATATTAAATATGCCATTTATGAGTCGTGGCAGGGGGTAATTTAATTTTATAAGGTAAACATGAGAGTATTTTTAATGTTAAAAATGTAAGTAAAAACTATTTACATTGTATAATTAAGCGGACTGGTATCATTATGACTTAAAGTATACCAAATAATTATTTTTGATATCCGTTTTTATTTAGTATAATGGTCAGGATATTAGTTAAGAAGATTCTTTATTGAAATGCAAGATTAAACCTATTCCTTAAAACCATTTTTGACGGTATAATATAAAGTAAAAAAACACAATGTTAACTTATCTATCACACCATCTGATAGTTATCTAACACCTTTGAGGCGTGGAGACGGTCGATATTAATCACAACTCTAAAGGGGAGTTGACTGCGATAAAGCTGTTATAAATGGTACAGGTTTGACACACTATTACCTTGAGACGGGTAAGTTATTAGGGACCCTCTTTGGTCAACGAACTAGATAGCTCAGAGACCCAAGGACGGGTCCTCTTTCTTCTTTGGAATCCTTTTGGACTCGACTCCCCGGCGAACCCACCGCGTTCTATCTTTTTCTTAAAACCCTCACTCCAGGAACCAATAAATTATCTGTCTCTAGGCATCTAGTTCGTGGCCCCCATAAAGCATTGAACGCTTAAATATGTTTATAATAAACCCGGAATTAATATTGCATCGGTATGTGTGGGAGGAAAACTCTGTAGACATGTCAACTTAAAAATACCATTACGGAAAAGAGGTTGAGTTAAGGACATATATGTCTAAAATACTGTTGCAGCAATGAGATGATAGCCGACTTGTTTACAAAGGTGCTTGCTGGAAGAATTTTTTTTTTGACAGTTAAACAATCTCACGAAAACTTGGATCCTTTTTAAGGCCTTGAAGTCATCCTACATATCGCCTGCAGGTTGCCAATACAATGTTCTTGGATTCCGCGGAGGGTAGGGCTGTAAAACTTTAGTCCTTTTGGTTCTTATTGTATAAAGCAGTTATTTATTAATATAGTTACACCTGCTTTGTTTTTCATACCTCATTCAAAGGCAAAACTCTCGGCAGTGTAAATTTCTATATATAATTGAGATTGCCCCACCTCTCGGAGTTATAAGGTTTTCGTTCCATTTATATATCTTAATAGCTTTTGGCGGCTGTCCAGTGTTCTCTACCCCCAGGATTCTAAATGTTAAGATAACTTGTAAACCGCCAAGGTATAATGTCAGGTGGCGTAAGGTTGGAATAAGTATTGCAAAGAGCCAATAACCTCGTTGGACGCACATTCATACGTTATATTTTCAGGTTTAAACGTTTTTATTGCAACATTGGGTATTCCAAGCTCTTCGCTTATTTTACGTCATAATCTTGCAGCAAACTTTTAATTTCTTTTTGGCCGAGAATTTTATAATTTTTGTACTCAGGTACTTCAAATCCTATAAACTTGTTGTCTGCTACTTCCTTGTAATTAAAGCCTATTAAACCGATCACTGTTCTTACTTTATTTACATAATCAGTTAGTGTTCTTAAATCATGCAGTTAAGCAATGAAAGTATTTCTATAAAGTAAAACACCAGGGTTCTACCTAAAGCCTAGTTCTATGAATTCTTAGGTAATTATTTTGCACCACTAAAGCTTCCCTTCTTTGCCCCGTACAATGTCTTGTTTAATGATTAACTTTTTCCATTTAAATTGCTTTTATAAATAAAGTAACCCTTAGGGTATTTTAATAAGAACCTGAGGTCCCTATTAGCATTTATATAGGTTTTTGGAAAAATCAATCGAAGCTGAGTTTGCTGTATCGGTCAGCGATTACCATCAATAACCTTTCCGTTTCTCGCGATAGCATTGGATTCACGCTTTCGTTGGAGTTCACTTTACGTATTTGTGAAGATCTCTAAAGCTTATCTTAGAACTCTTTGAGTGACATCCTTTACTCCAAACGGCTATGTCGTCTTGTCTTAACGTAAAACTTGTAGCCTTCATTTTAATAACCCTTAATGCCTTTCCTTCTCATTTTCTGCTCAAAACGTTTGCAGTTAATTTGCAAAGCTCTGCAACTTGACAAGCTATGAATTTTTAGCAGTAGATTTTCGAAATTTCTTGAAACTGTCTTGTCCACTGCTAGTGAGGGAGCCCCTTACGCAGAGGAGAGGAGCCCAATTTTTTCCGTTTTTTACTCTTACAAATTGAGCGAGCTAGGATCTATTCTTAGCAGCGCCCATGGGATTCCAGAAAAATTCGGCCCACAAGCCCCCTTACTCTCGGCTGGCCACCTCTAATTTGATGCGCTGCAGCGCGACTTGCCTCTATTTTATGTAACCCTTACCTAATCCTAAAGCACTCTAAACTAAAAGCCCAACTGCGCGTTTTGCAATGCATCGACCGATGTTCCTAGCAAAATAAACATCAGACCTGCTTCCGCCGTTTTGACCTATTATCAGCGATACTGGTAATCTTACCATTTATTAAACGTCACATTTAGTTAATGGCCATCCATACTAGCGCTGCAAAGCATCGAGACGGTTGGGAGCTCGATTGAGGCTCTTTGTTATTAATTAAAACTTATAAGCCCGAAAGAAACAAACGATAAATACTTCAGACCTTAACTTCTTTCTTATAAAGAGCCCCCCGTAATTTCAATGGCAGGCACCCCGCAAAAATAGTAAGTTCAGAAGCACAAATGACTGCAAACCGACGGTGCCGAGATATTTTTTTCTGTCGTACTTAATAATTTTAGTTTAAAAGCTCTTATTACATTTATTCTACTATCCTTTAAAGAACAAAACAGTGTCACTCCTGAAAGTAACTAAACTGTTAAGACTATCAATTTAAATTGTAATCTATATTTTGAAATGCTTATAATAATATACTGTAGTCACCGAAACGAAATCATTGGTGCGGTTGCTTTAGTCCTAAATTATCTAACTAGTACATAGTCTGGTAGCTAGTATTTTTCTAATATTCCTTAGTAAGCCTTTATTATATTGGCTTCAGCAAAGAGTTATTACAAAAGTATTTGAGAGTTAGTTCCGATATTACAATTTGTGGGACCCGAGCTAGGGCACTGATTAACGGAAACTTTTAATTCTAGTTGCTATAAAAACCCGAAAACAATAATTAAAATAATTAAGATTAAGTCATAAAAAATTCTTTGTTACATTAAGGAAGATTCTTGTGAAAATGAAGGAGAGCTCAAGTCAACATTAAACTTAGAATTAAGAGAATTACTTTATAAACTTGTTACATACTTTAGAATAAGAAAGAGTATTTTTTTAAAAAGGTAAACGCCGCTCATCTGCATAATAAACCTAATAATTTAGAAATATTCTATTAACTATAATAAATTTCACCAGACTACTATTTATAATTTCATTTTTTTAAGTAAATTCAATTCCATTCTTCCACAAGATTATTTAGCTCTTTTACAGGTCGATATTCTTATATATATTACAACAAACAGAATTTTTATGTTTTCGAAACTCCATTACGCTATTAGTACTGTAAATAGTCCTAAAATCGAAAAAATAAAATTTAACTTCAAAATAATGAAATTTAAATTTTATAGAGATAACTATAAATTAAATACAAATTAAAAAAAAAAGAAGAATCGCCAATTTTATTAAGTAAAAGCCAGAAAAATTTTTTCTTCTGTAATGTAGGCGCCGCAACGCTTAAAAGTTCAGTCGATTGTCTTTCCAACTCTTTCAGGCACTGGCAAAGTGTTTCTTTAGTAAAAACGCCATTAATATTACCCTCTTTCCTCAGCTAAATTTCATTGAAAATTTCTATAAAAAATTAAATTAATCTCAAAATTTAAATACTTTAATACTTATTTTTAATATTAATTTCATAAAAATATAATTGGATGAAATTATTTAGAGTTTGCATATAATTATTATTAGAAAAGATAAAAGATAAATAAAAATAAGAAAAAGGCTTATAAAAAAATATTTTTCTTATGAATATAACACTAATCTCAACCTTGTTATATTTTAATTAAGAAATATTTTATCAATATAAAATTTTAAATTTAAATTTTTGTGATAAATAAATAAAAATATCGTAAACTTTATTATTTTTAATACCTTTTTAACGGTTTTTTAAAAAAATTAAAAAATTTAATTAACAAATTTTTCCCTCTTATAATTAAATTTTTAGATTTAGATTTAGATTTTATTTAATATGATAATTATAAAAAGTTAACAGAGTTAATACTTTCTTTTATCTTTTACAGAAAAAGTTAATAAATTTCATAAATTATAAGAAAAACTTGATAATACAAATAAAAGACTAAAAGTAGAATATTATTAAGAATTTCTTCCACTTAATAGTTTAAAAAACTCTTTACTTATTAATTTATGAAAATACTTTAACGAAAAAAAATAAAAAATAAATTAATCATATAAAATATAAATAAAATAAAAATATTATATTATATATATTTTTATAAAAAGTAACGTTTATTCTTCTTTCTCTCTTTTTTTCTGAAAGCAAGTCATCCTTTGAAGATCAAAATTGACATTAAACGATTCACTGCGCGATAAACTCAATAAAATTAAAAAACAACGCAAAAAAAGTTTTTTTGATAAAAATAAGAAAGAGGAAATGTATAATAATATAAATAAATTAAAAATAAAAATGCAAAAAATTTAGATTAATTCATTTTTTAATAACAATATTTTTTGTATTCCAGTTATAATTTTTATTAATAATAACAGATTTGAGAAGTTATCTGAAATTAATTTTTTATAGTTTTTAAATATTTTTTTATATAAAATGTACAAAAAGAAGCCAAACCTAAAAAAAAATCCACTTTGCATTTTAATAATTGCTCGCCACAAAAACTTTTATGATAATAGAAATTAAAAAGTCACTTTAATTGAATAAATTATAAAAAAATTTTAAATTTAATATTTTTATATTGTATAATTTTTATACGATTTATACTTTTTTTTAGTTTTATTATTATAGTATATATGTTAATACTTTTCCCAAGTTTTGTTTTCTATATTTATTATTATTACTGTTATATTTTTTTATTATTATTATTTATACGCTTTTTAAATTAAGTTTTATAAGTTTATTATTACATATTTATAAAGTAATAAATGAGTTGAGTAAATCTTTTACTTTTACTAAAAACACTAATAACTATAAATGTGTAACATAAAAGTAATATTAAAAATAATTGACGATTAAAAACATCAAAAACTGACCAATAACACAAAAGTAATTTAATTAAAGCTAATCAAAAAATTGTGGGTACGTAATTATCATTTCTTACTGGAATATTATTTTTATAAATCATTCAAAAGCAAAAATATATATATTTTAAAAATTAAGAACAATTCACTTGAAAGTAAATTTTTTTGAAAGGAAAATAAAAATTAACTTCCAAAATCGTCTAATAATTATATATAATAAATATAATATTAAATGAAAAATTTTGCAGTATTATTTATTATAACAGTTATAATTATAAGTAACTAAAAAATTTTATAATTATTATAGATTTTGTAGAGAGAAATATTTTTTAGTAATTAAAATTTATAAATGCTTTCAAAATTTACAAAAGATCCCCCAAAACTTTTAAATCTTATAAAATTTTCATATGAAATTCAAAAGAAATCAATTAAAAATTAAAGCGCTTTTGGATATTTAATAAGTGAACTGAATAAATTATTATAGAAGTACTATAAAGAAAATTTTTTAAATAATAGGAAATCCTTTAAAAAAAATATATATATATATGTAGGAAAAGATTAACTAAATTTAAATATAAATTATATAAAATTAGCTAAAAAGCAAAATATAGCAAAGAAAGATATTTATAAAAAATCCCAAGTCCAGCAAAACTTTTTTTACAAAAATTACAAAAGAAACTTTAAAAACTTAAAAAATTTACTTCTATAAGAATAGTTAATCGATTGTAAAAAAATTTTAATAATAAAAATCAGCAATTAGGCAACTACCTCTGAGAAAATTCACAAACGTATGCACAATACTAAAGTCAGAGTGTACCGCATTGGGTTCATCTACAAGAGATAAAATTATTTTTATTATTATAATTAATATAACATTTTTCAATTTTTTGTGTTAATGTTTTACTTTAGAAGTATATGATAAACGAGTGAAATAACTATTAGAGAGTAAAGCAAGAAGAGCAAGAGCAGCAAGTTTAGCCAAGGGGCGTGGAGTTTGTAGGGATCTGAAATATTCTAAATACATATAGAGAAAGTGAAAATATTTATCTAATAAAAGAATATTAAAAAATGCAACAAAAATTTAATAAAATGAAAACCAAATGAAAGCAAAAGCAATAAAAATCAAAAAAAACTATTTCTTCATAAATATTGAAAGAACACTACTAAAAAACTATCATATAAACAAAAAGAGAATTACTGAAACGTGAAAATATAAAAGAAATGAGAACTGCAGTCGGCCAGTGAACTATAATACTTGAAAAACATAGTCGCGCTGGCTGGCCAACTCGGCCAGGCAAACGAGATTACGAAAAATTCCAGGTGATTCATAGCAACACGTGCAAGGACAGATGGGAGAAGCGATCATAACCACGAAAAGATGTTTTGGTACACTATGATAAACCTTCCAGAACAAATTTATAGAGACAAGTTTGCATGTTACTAACAATCAGTTGACTAAAGTCCTTAAGATTTTTTTGCACAACTGCATTAAAAAAGTAAATATAATTTATACACATGTGAAGTTAAACAAAACCAAAAAAATCTAAATCCAAAATTTCACTCCACAAATTCGAATCATCACTATAATCAGAAAAAGAACGTATTAAAGCTTTACAAAATGTGTTTCGCGTGGGCTCCTGCTCCTAATGATATAATTATTATTTATTTAGTTGTTTTAAAAAAGTACAAATGAAACTTTACTAAGGCAATAAGAGTTTATGCAAAATTAAAGTTTTTTCTTGTACGGACAGGCGTGGAAGTACAGCTTAACGGAGACAAAGCAGGTAAAAACAACCGTCTCTGTTCTGGCGCAGCAGCAGCCTAACCTCGACTCCGGAGCACTAACGCGTTCGGAAAGAGTTTCACTAGACGAGCAGGTGGGCTTAGCGGGTGCTGAATATGAAGCCCACAATGCGAGCCTGACGGCGCAAAGAAAACTAGTACTTTTCTGATCAGAGCCTGTTGAGAAATCCGCACACTGCTGTGCTCTATCACAAGCTCTCCTTCGGGGCGCTAGAAGTTTCCACAGACGAGATCTCGAAAGTAAAAGATAAAAACTATGCAATTAAAAAACGCTTTGCACAGGGTAAGGGAGTGGCAACGCGATCTATTATCAAACGGAAAAGAGAAAGTATCACCGCTAACAGAATGCTAATAATATGTTCACGGTACCTTTTCTTTGATTTTCTCCGCAATAAAAGTCAGTGCGGGGACTACAAGACGAGTGCAATCGCAAAAATATTATACTCTAGAAGCAGAAACAGCTGTTCCACAACGCCATGTGCATCAAAAAAAAACTTTCACAAAGTAAACTCTTTTTAACACTAATAAGAATTATTATTATAATAAAACGGATAAGCATAAAGGGCTCCACCGACACTCAAGCGCACCAACTCGGACTCATACGGAGAAACAGCCCTGCAACAAAAACAGTCTGTAAAATAGGGAATGATACAAAGTTTTTTAAAATCTCACTGTTTGTCACAATCGCCGTCCAATCAGTGCATTATATTGAGGCTACAACCATACGAGAAAGATCCTCAGGAATAGCTTATATAATTCACGAATACAAAATGCGGACAATGATTGGCTGATGACAAGCTCTTTCTTCACGTATTGGCAGAGCTCGCAAACGCTCAAAAGCGGGGAAAACCAGAACGAACTGCTCCAGAAAGACAGAGAAGAGTCTCACGAAGTATCATTATTTCAAGGTCATAAAAATCTGAAACGTGTATTTCCCACCAATCAAACTCGTTATAAAGCATAAAATTTTCATACTTTTATTAGATGAAAAAACGTTGTTTAGCGAGTCGTAAAGAGAGGGCAACTGGCAATAAAAAATATTTTGTTTTATTGTGTTTCGCTTTATAAGTGGTACTCGTAAGAAAAAAGACAAGTCGACTTTATCGTGCTAAACGACATCTTCGCTCTAGAACTGCATGCTACTAACATATTTAGCCGGCTTAGATATTAATAATGAAAATAGCAGTATTAATACCACCGCTAAGTATTTTAAATAACCACAAGAATAAAACTTTTCGATAAACTATCATTAATAGTAATTTGTTATAATTGGGAGAAAAGATTTTTTCTACGCACTAATAATCATAAAAACAACAATAATAATAGTTTTTAGAATTGTTGTAAAAACGAGCTCCGCTTAGATAAGAGGGGTTCAACGCAACCAGAATTTAATAAAAGTAGGCATACCGCAACGTATCTATCGTTCATATATTCTTAAAAGCGCTAATATTTATAATAACGATAAAAGTAAGTAATAATAATGCTCGAGTATTAGAGGGAAAAAAATTAACGAAATGCTTCACGATGCAGGAACAAGTGATACCGAGCGAAACTTTAGCACCTTCCGAAAGATATTCAGTAAAAATATAATGACTTGTCTATGTTGGAATTTCCAAAGGGAGAACGGCGCCTTGCCGTTGGTTCAGTCGTTAAATTTAAAATAAAAAACAGAAATAAAATTCATTCGCTCTCGCAAAGAGCGTGATGCTTTAAAAATTGAGAAGTCCCGTGCCTGAAGCGAAAATAAAAAATAATATAATATCAAAATAATTATAAAACCAATAAATTAAAATTTATTTAAAAAACTTCGAAAACAATAATTTAACGAAAAAAATTATTATAATTAAACAAAAATTAAAAGTATGATAAAATTAAAAATCGTAATTACTTATCATAAAGTTTAATTCAGATTTATAAATATAATATTAAACTAATTCAGTTAATATATAAATTAAAAAAATAAAATTAATAAAAGTAAAAAATAATATTAAATTGAAATTAATAATTATTAATAAATAAACAAGAACGATAAAAAGACAGTAGACACTCAATTATAATAAATTAAATAATTTATTATATAAAAAAAACTGATAAAATTTTTTTATAGTAATAAAACATGTGTATACTCAATCAATATAATATAAATTAACAATAAAACAAGAATAACAAGAATTCGCGTATAAAAGTTGGATAGTACTGGCAGGAAGCGTGACACAAGAGATGACGAAGAATCGGAAGGCTGAAGTGCGCAGCCTCGCCTTGTTTCCTTTGGCTTGAGCGGCTCAAAAAGTTATATAAGTTCGGAAATTTAAAAAAGAAAACTACAGAAGGCTGCGAAAACTTTTCTTTGAACTAATCTAAAAAGAAAAATCAATAAAGCAATTTATTAATAACAACTACTCTGAATTATAATATTATAACCAATTTATTATTTATTCTTAATAATTTCTACAAAAATCTAATAATTAATAAATATTAATGTAAATTATATTATATTTTACTAAATATAAAAGTTTTCTTATAATTATAATTATAGTACACAAAAGAATTGATTATGAAGTTTTTTAGAAAATCCTTAAAAGATCTACAGTAAGAACACTTCTTGCTCGCATATTTATAATAAATACAAAAAATCTATAAAGAAAATTTTATCAATGTCTGCAAAAAGAAGACTTTTATAAAAAATAAAAAAAAGTTCCCATTAGCTTTAAGTACTTTTAATTTCGGTTGTATTATTTATTTGTAATTTATATATTAAAAGTCAAAATTTTTTTGATTAGGAAACATTTTTCATACGAAATAAGTTTTTCTTTACTTATAAAAATTTTTTAATAAAGAGTTATTAGCCGAAAAAATTATTTAGAAATACAGAAAAGTTTTTCAATATGAAGTACTTCGCAGCCTATAAATTAATGCTACGCAAGTTTAGTTAATTATTAATTAACTCCAATTCTATTTTTTTAAATAAAAATTTTATAAAACGATGCAGTTCTGACAAAAGTGATATTTTATAAAGATAATATATATATAATTTGATCAGAAAAAAATTTAAAGTAAAAATATATTCATTTGAAATTCTTCGTTTAGTAGAAAATTACTTTAAAATAAGTTGACTTTTTTTATGCTAACTTGCAAGTTTTTTTTTTATTTTGTTAAACTGGAAAAAAAACGCTGCGATTTACTGAAGAGTAAAAGAAAAAGCAAAAGTAATGTAATGTCAAAAAAAAAAAAACAAAAATATTTTTCTTACTGCCAAAATTTATATAAAAATTTATTTGAATAGGCCAATAAATAAAAATTAACTATAAACATATATTTTGAGTTAATTGATAAAATTTTTAAAACAATAAAAGTAAAATTACTAGTCGGAAAAAAATTCAGAAGTAAATTATTAAACGTAATAAGTTTATATGTATTAAACATTTTAAAAGATAAGATAAAATTTAAATCTACAATTAAAGATATTTTAAATAAAAAAAAAAGAAACTAAAAGCAGTTTAAAAAAATTGTAATCGTTTTAATATTATAGACAATAGCAACAAAATTTATAAAGACGAGGCAAACAATTGTTTTCAAAAAAAATAGAATTAAGTAATGGCTTATAATAAAAACAAGTAAAAAAGAGCCAAATAAAGAAGTAAAGGAAATGATATGCATTTGTATATATAATAACTTTTGTTCAAAAAAAATTTATTAATAATAGAGTTTCGTAAAATTGGAGGCAAGCAAGTGAATTCGAAATTTAATAGTAATTAAATAGTTATAAAAAAATAAAGTTTACTGCTAAAAAGTTAAATTTACAAGAAATTCGTTATATAAAATTTAATAGTACTGAACCAAAAATAAAAGTTAACAAAAAAAGTTAATAAAAGATTTTTAAACAAAAATACTGAATTAGATTAATAAAGTCGATTTATTAAATTAAATATAAAAACTAAAAACCGTTAAATGCAAATTTAAAAATATTTTCATTTACAAAGCGAATTTAAAAAAAGTTCATTATAAGTTATTAATTACTTTTTATAAAATAAACCTTTACAAAATTTTTGAGCAAAAAAAATATTATAAAAGTATACAAGCAAATTATTTTTATTTTTTTTATAAAAATTAATATTTATTTTGTAATAATAAATAATAAATAACTAAAGTTTTTTCTAATGCAAACTATATATATAAATTTAATTTTATTTAGTTAAATTTAAATTCACAAATAATTAGGTGATTTGTAAATAAAAATACAAAAACAATATAATATTAAAATTTTAAATAAATAAAAATAATTAAAAGTAAATCAGATTAAATGAAAAAAAGATGGACTATTAATAAATTATATATCGTATAATTAGATTAGTTATTACAATACTAATAAAACATTTAAAAAATAAAAAGTAAATCAGATTAAATGAAAAAAGATGGACTATTAATAAATTATATATCGTATAATTAGATTAGTTATTACAATACTAATAAAACATTTAAAAAATAAATTGAATGTTTATTCCTATTTCAAATTCACTAAGTAAAATAATTTTTTCTATAAAAGTAATTAATTTGGTAAGGCAGATAAGAGGGGGTGACACTAAATTAATATCTCTTATATTCAAAATATATTTAATTACAGAATAAAATCTTTATATGAAATTCACTATGGAGATTAAAGATATTATAGTAAAGAGCTTGCGTTCAACTGAAAGTTTATTTTTTACTCCTAATGTCAATTTGCAAGTTAAAAATTTTAAAAAAAAATTAAATAAAAGGTTAGAATTTAACAAATATATACTGCGTTTTTACTAATAAGTAGATATAGAAATATATGTAAATATAAGTTAAAAAATTTATAATCCAAATATCAAAATATTAAAGTAAACTATAAATTAGTTTTGCTATCTCACATAAGGTAATAAATATTCAACAAAACATAGTGCTAAAAGTTAAGTTATAAAGTTCCCGTCCAGATTTTAAGAAAAACTACATAATATGGGTAAAAACTTCTTAAAGGCCTCTTTCTCGACTAAAAGTATGTCAGAAGTAATACTCCTAATGACTGTATGCAAGATGGAAAAACCATCAAGTTTATAAACAATAGTACGAGAAATCGGCAAGCGGTCTACCAAAAAAAATTAATTGATAGTTATATAATTACAATAAGAAAATAAAGTAAAATAATATATTAAAAAAATTTATTTATATTTGGATTTTATTAAAAGATCGGACCATGAATAAGGGCTCATCGATACAAGCATTGCTTTGGAAAATTTCAAGGTATAGAAAAACCTTGGTAAAGCATGATGCATAATGATAAATTTTAATAAAATTATCTATTACCATATAATCTGACTCACCAATTAAAGCATTTAATATGGGCTTCCGAAATCTTTTTTAATAATGCGTTAAAATACATAAGTAGCTTCAGGTACTCATATAGTTTAAGTTAACAGGTTGAATATAAAGCGAAAAGACTGATCTAAAGTAAGCTATTAGTTAAAAACGAGTTTATTACTACTAAAATAGTAAAATAAAAGTTATTATAATTACTCACTAATAGATAAAAAAGAAAGAAGTTTTTACCTTAAGCAAAGATTCCTCCACTCTCCATCTACAGCTTATCTCGATAATAAAACAGCGAAACATCAGACTGAAGAATTTCTAAAGTCGTGTATAATACTCGACAGGAATAAAATAAAGTAAGTCTTTAAATATGTTATAAGCCTAAAGCAATATACGTAATTGGAAGAGTTAGTATATTTAAATACTCATAAACGATAAAGAATGGAAGAAGTTAGGGCTAGAATTCAACTCTCTAAGAATTTGAAGGGACTGTGCCAAACGAGCTTCATTATAAAGATCTTTTTCAGTTTTTAATATTAAACATTTTGATGCTCTCTCCAGGTCCCATCGCATGACGAAAATAAATGAAAGGTAACTAAGTTTTAGAAAACTAACTTCTAAAATGCAAGGATGGGTAAATATTAATTAGCTCAAATGCAAAGTTTTTTACCAATCATAGTCATGGATAAAGTTTTGCTCTAAAGAGGAGACTAGTTGTTAAAATTATACGCAGTCTTTTTAGTAATGTAAGTTTTTTTACTATAAGATTTAAATGTTCAATCTTCTCTAAAACTGTCTTACGAATTTAAAAAAAAATAAATTTTTAGTGACATTGTTAAAGGTCAGTGGATTTGTTCAAAGCTGTTCCGGCATGATTAGCCAGCACAGACTCCAAAGTTTATAAATTTTAGAAACTATATAAAAGAAAGTAATGCTAATTTTATTACATTTTGCCATTGAAATGAGAACAAAGAGGCATTTCTCTCAAACCCATACCTATTAATTCTTGACGTTTCTGTTTCTTCTTCTTCTGCAGCAAAAGTCGAATTCGTTTCGATAGTGGCTAATGCGCATAGAGCTTTTCTTCAAGCACATAAAAGTTTAGAATGCTTAGTAGTAGGCAGAAGGAGTGAAATAGTAAATAACTCTAATAAAAGCAGAAAAGAGGCTTTGTCTGGGCAGTAGACTACAGGCACAAACCCGACGGAAGAGGACTCTGCTCAGCCAAAGACATACGTCTCCTGTTTGTTACTGTTCGAGAATTAATAAATATTAGTTTCTGAATAATCTGATTTACTTGTTAAGCTTTGTGAGTGACTAGTGCTGCCAAAAAAATAATACACCACCCTGCCCTTCTGTTCTTTTTTTGAAGATTGAAAGCCCATTTCGAGTTTTGAACATATAATATGTCACCGATTTCATTCAAACTTGATATTAATTTAAGCAGACCTTAGTTAGCCTCAAACATATAGCAAAAGAACGTAATTAATTACGCTTGCGAGTAATTTCGATAAAAACAACTAACATTCACCTTAAACATTTTGCACTGTAAATTTGCATTTTATTGGCCCACCGCGGTAAGGCAGAGTTAATAGATTTACGTATGCGTGACAGGTGTTTGTTGCTTGCATTAAAACGATTAGATTTCCTAAAATAGCTTAAAAAAAGCCATTTTCAGAAACATTGAACTCTTTTTTAATAAATTTCGTTCAGCACTGGTTTATGACACATAGCACATGTGAAGGATGTATGGTTATTAATGTTTATTATGTATTTGTAGAATTAATAGCCCAAAGGTAACATTTCTTGGATCTATTAGAGAGAAAATATGGCTAATATTATAGTTTATATTATCCTTAAAATATAGATTTAATAATGTACCAATATTGAAACTTGGTTGTCCTTAAACTTTAGATTAATGCAACAATATTGAAACTTGACTATTCCATTACATCTGACATTATTATTACTTTGCTATTCCCCTTTAATAATATAAACTATTTAGCTTTGCAAACAAAGCGCATTCTTCTCGTTAAAGGAGCAATGAATCATAAAGTAATTTATAATTCCCCCCCCAATCAATAGAGGGGAAGAACTTTGGGAAGTAACTGATCTTTAACCATGCTGGTAGTAAGCCAGTGCTATAAATAAATAAAAATAGCACCAAACGTGCATGGTCATCGTAATTATGAGTTTCTAATTAATTCTGCGTTACTAAAAAAGGCCTTATAATGTGTTAAATTGTACGAAAAAACCTCACTAATTATTAACCGCACATTTTTAAAATAGAATAAAGACATAAAATGCTTCAGATTTATTTTAGTAAGGCGAACATAAAGGCTTTATGTCATCACAAATTTAAAAAAGATAAATAAAAAAGAAAAAAGGATGAACGATGCTGCTCTTAAGTAATGCACAACTTGGTAAGCGACCTCTTTTGTAGGAAGGGCCACATTTCCTAACCTTCAATATGAAGAGGGGAAGCTTAAGCAGGTGAACAATAGGTATTACAACTGTAGTAGTTAAAAGTACTAAAATAAAGAATAAAAGAGCGTGCCTTACCCTTTTTTTTCTATCGCGCTTCTTTCTTACTTTGTGCCTGAGATACAAAGTTATAGTCTAAATAACAAATCTATAGAAGGAAAAAACAATAAGTAAATATTTTGGTGAAGAGAATTATATCATATTTGTAGAAATCACCGTTTTTACAATATAAATATTTTTTAGCATAGACTGGTATATAACCCTATCTCGTCTTCTTAAATTAGTTAAAAGAAAGAAGTAAGGGACAAGTTGGTACTCTTTTTAACAAAGTTAACGTGTGCTTCAACGTTAAACGAATGTGAAGGGATAAAAATTCCAAGTTACACTAAGTAGTTATTATCAAATACTTAAAAAAATTAGACTAAAATTGTTACTTTAGTTTTTTTTAAGTTGCATCACAATTGTACTTAAAGAAAATCTTCATTTCCAGTGTGCAGCGACACTCTTTCCTTTTGTAAAAATTAAATTAATATGTACCTACTAGAAACTCTTTTTAATTTTGTAAAACTAGTCACTTATATTTTTATGTTGCTTCATCAATTAAGTTGGCTGAAAGAAAAGCATAAACTTAGTTTCTTTTTTTAATAATAAATACATAACTTTAGTAATGTACGCCTTGTAAAAATAATCAGATTTATGACTGATAACGTCATAATATATAAGACTGAAAAAACGAGGCCGTAATACTAAGTTCAGCAGTAGTGTTATAAGGACAACTTTTCAGCTACTATTGCCAGTAAACCAGAAATTTTGTGAAGATTTTATATTAAAAATATATAGAACCGCTTAAATTTCATGATTAGTCAACATCAAGACAATTTTCTTCAAAAAAAATTAAGCGTGCGTTTGTTAATATATTTAAGACAACACTTAAAGTTGCGCTTCTAATAACATCCTTTCTACAGAAAAACGCTTTCAAAAAATTGAATTTTCTTTGTTTTTGTACTTATTTGAAGCCATTAACAAAAATGTACCATTAATAACAACCCCTTAAATGTTAAAAGTAAACACGCCCCCGTTTGCATAAAAAAGGTCTTAGAGCTGATTGGTGTATCTAATGAATATTTATACCCTTTCCTAGGCGTGACCAATTTACTATTCCATCCTTTCTCTCTCTCCTTTAGCTTTATTGCGCCGCAAAGCTAATGCCTCGCAAGTCTTCGTCCCGTGCAGCATCTCGTACTGGTATACTTATTATTCTTATATGTTTATTTATTCTCTTCACAACTTTTTCATCACTTTTCAAGTTTTTATTGACAATATCTTTTCCCTGTAGCTTCCCGCCCCGCACTTAGACCCTTGTCTGCTCCTGTTCGCTCTCCTCAGCCGTCCAGTTTACCATCTCCGGCGACTGCACCCAATTCCAAGGGTAGAGGCATTATGACAGAAATCGCCTCCACTGCTGCTGGTGTGGCTGCAGGTCACGTCGCTGTAAGATTAGCATTATTTGTGATCCTTACCTTTTTTAAATTTTTTTTATTATAGGCTAATGCTATCAGTCGAACGTTATTTGGGTCGCCAAGTGAGCATTTTCAGCCCGCTCCAATTCAACCAGCTGAAGCATTACAGCCTTCTCAGTCTCCCGATTCTCAGGCTTGTTATCGATTTCAGTGAACTTCTATGATTTTCATTGCGATAAATTTTAATAGGGCCCTTGCGCAGAGGAATATTTTAACTTTATCAAGTGCATGAACACTTCTGGGAATGATCTTAGTTATTGCCAGCAGTTTAATGATATGTTCATGTCCTGCAAACGACAACCCAACTTTTGTAAGTTTTTTTAAAAAACTTTTATATTATTAATAATTTATTTTTAGATTAACTATCAGCGAAATAGAAGTTAGCTGAAGCATAAAAATAAAATTTTATTAAAAGTGCGACTGTTTATATTTTTACTTATATTTTGCCTGTGGTATTAATTTTTATTTATTTCTACAATTGTACATAATTGAATATTTTTATAAACAGTTATTGCTTTGATTTGTGCTATAATATAATTAAGGTTTTTAAGGTCTTTTATAAGAGTCTACGTAGTTTTGTTAGTGTTTAGCTTAATCTACTTATTCGAATTACCCGCCCGGACAAGTATTTGCAGAGCCAATAAATAGTTATGTTATAAGAATTTTGTTCATGCAACGACGCCTAGTATTGTTTTTTTAATATTAAATTCCTTTTTATTACTTCAGTTGGAGAAACTGGTATTAGTTGGTTTTTCTTAGCACTGCAGGATTATAAAAGTATATTACAAATCTTTTAGAGAGAGAATTTTATACAATGACTTGCTTACTAAAGCTGCTATGAAACAATTTACACGATTAATAGCCAATCGTTCGTTTGCAAGGTATACTTTAGTTAATATATGAAGTGGGGAACGGGATTGTCGGCGAGAGATAAACGGACTGCTCACAGGGGGGCTACTGCTACAGAGCACTTTCTTTTCCCTTTTACAACGCGGCGTTGTGAGTTACTTGTAAAAAGCGCTCTTAAATCTGTCAGACTTGTTCAATTTATTTCTTGTGTTCTTTTTAATTGCTTTATATCGCCTGTTTAAAGAAATTTGCTGTGGGGTAGTATGTATATTCTCAGAAAACGTGCCAGCTGTTTGGAATTGTAATAGTCTTTGTGTTAATAAATTTTTATAGAACAAGTGCTTGGTCTTTTTTTTTATGATGGCAATCTCGATAGATATCACTGAAAATTGATGTAACGGGTTAAATACCGAAAACCGTTATACCAGATCTAGAATTACCGTCGTAGCTTAGCTGTTGGAGCAAAGACCCCGCAAACTCGAGTCTTGGTCTCGATACCTCTTGGCGCTACACCCCTTTTTGGTCTTGGATGGCCGCATATCTAACCTTGTTTTAAAAATTCGATTCTGTATTGTCGTTTTTATTATTATTATAAGCCAGAAAGGGAAGGTTTTTTAATAGAAGCAATCAAGTTTATTACGGATAGAGTAGAGTAAGCTTCTCCTAATTCTCTAGCTTAATAAGTTATTTAAAGCCCTCGCTTACATTTCATTTGACTTTGTCCTGTTAGAGACTATAATCCCCTAGGTTTTTCGTTTTTAGTGCGGTCATTACTCTCTTTTACCTTAGTTTTTATGAAGTTATTTATAAAGTAATTAAATGAGAAGAGGTGTCCGTTTCGTTAAAACTTAATTTAGTGAAATTTTTGGTATATTAACAACTAAGGTGAGTATTGTGTGTGATTTATATATATACTTAACAACTTGACTTTATACCTTTTTTAAAAAAAAGTAGTATAGCTTTTTTTAGTTTAAAACTGACAAATTTATGTCTGTCAAAGGGTATGATGAAATTATTTGCTTTAACTAATATATTTAGTTAGGAGATTTGAATATCGGCTTTTATAGAGTAAATATATGTTGAGTCTAATTTTTCTTTGTAAGGTTGATTTTACCAAAACTGTCTTTAAAACTATCAGTTACATAATACAGTAGATTGTATATTATAGACTAAATTTTATTATGTTTATAATATAGATTTATAAAAGATTCAGCACTGTTATAATTTATTTGTTAAATTTAAGGGCTCCTGTAGAGCGCTACAAAACAGCCGAAATTTAAAGAAAGAAAGTAAATGTGCTTGAATCATTTCATATATATAAATATAGCAATTTGTTTTCGGAAGCTAAGCCCTCTTCTGTACAGTGGATAAAGGGTTATTTTAAAAAACAGTTTAAACTAACGCCACTTTGTGTTTAACTAATACTCAAATTTTGCAAAGACCTGAAGGCTTTATAGAGTTAATATATTATAAAAGATTTATATATGCCAATTGCTAAAGTAAATTTGGAAAGAAACTATTTACAAAATCACTGTTAAGAATTGGCAAAGCCTTTTCCCACTAAAATTTTGGACAAATATCTTTTATGTAACATTCTTCAACTTATTAACTCATGTCAAATAGTTTTCATAAATATTCATTAATATTTTAAGTTAAAAAGGGTTTGTAACGATTTTTGATATAATATATATTGTTAATTTGGTACCAATAAGGCATTAAATATAATTCCAGTATTTATAACATTATGGTAGTAGTATACTGTTGGGTAAAATAGTAATAGTTTGTGTAATTAAATAAATTTTAGCATGACTATAAAGGAAGCAAAATGTTCTCGTGGCATACCAGGCCAATATTTTGTTAAATTCTTTTCGCTTACAAAAGAAAAATTGAAAATTACCGAAAATAGTAAAGTTAGTATCTGCTTAGATTGTTAAATAACAAAAGTTTTAGTTTTTTTTTACTTTAATTAAGAAGGGTGTCTTCTCTTTATTAGATCATGCAAACTTGTATACTACTTTAATCGGTTTCATAATATTAAAAAGTCCCAAACTTAAAATGTGCTTTTATAAACATTTTTAACCACGAAGGCGAGGTCAATCTGTATAACGTTTTTCTCATTATATATGTTCTAATAACAGTTAATCTTTTATTTGAAACACTGGTAAATATATTAATGATAACTTTCATATATATTAAATAACTTACGCTTTATTGTTTTTGCTATTGCTGAGGTGCAACTGAAAATTTTGTTGATTTGAAAAGGGTCCTCGCCTTTTTTTAGTCTGCTTAATTAGTATTATTACAACAAGCTTTAAAAAAAAGGAAAATAAGAGATGATCAGGTTGGGATAAATAGTTGGGTACGATGAGGCTTTTCTTAATACAGAGTGGAATTCCGCATTCTAGCGTGAAAAAGCTGTTTGTTTCCTAGTGCTCCTACGACTACCAAGCTAACGACTTAGCTGCAACGTGGAGAAATATGGTGAAATTATGAAAAAAATTACCTTCAATTAGAAATTTTCTTTTACTCTATATTTTTTTTTAGCGGCGTAAGTTACAAGAACTTAAATTACTAAGCTAATACCCGAAGAAACCACAATTCTTATTATATTAATTGATTAAATTCAAAAGTTTTAGCTATAACTTCTCTCTACGTAAGTCTAATATTAGTTTTGTGGATACAAAGAAAATAAGTAAAATAAAAATATTATTTAATAGTAAAAGAGGCTCTTTTAAAAATTACCCAAATAAGTTTGAAAATACTTTATATGGCAAAAGTATATGAGTCACAGAAGCCGGAACTTATGCGAGAAAACCGCTTTACTACTGTTAAATCTTCCACCCTCTCCAAAAACTTGTGTGTTTTACCTTAAAGGGGCAGAAACCATATGTATTAACCCCTTATAAGTTACTGGTTACTATGTTTACCACTTGTCGCTTATGTTTCAATTTACAAGAGTAGGTCTATGGAGATAGACCCTAAGCGAGAGGCTCGCTCTCTGAAACAATCTCTGGTAAGTTTGAGTACATGTTCTAAAGGATTAGGCAGCAACCAACAAAACATAAAAAAGTGGTAAATCTAGTTACCAGTGAATATAAAACAAATCTATTTTGAGCCATAGAATTTTGCCCGTTAAAGAGTTAAGTTTCATCACTTAAGGTCAGCGTGTAAGTACTGTAGTTAATGATCAAACAAGAATACCACGCACTGCTATTAAAAATTCAGGCAAAAAAGGCAACCGCTCTTTACAGTGAACTTAAAGTATATGAGTATGGTATTTATATGTAAGAGCAGGGACATGACGGAGAACTTTGTTCTACCCATAAATAACCATTTAAGCCATAGCAGTGGAAACTGTAGACTAAACTTTTATCCATAACTTCTCAACTCTCACAAATAAAGACCACGAGACATAGAGTAAAACTCGGGGGCGTTTTGGTTGTTAAAAAGGGGCATGTTTGAAAAGCCATATAGCAGTCATGCTAATAAATGCTCTCATCGGTACCATGCCTTATCCCGATAGCGCAGTCGTAAGCCTGACTTCAGGCAGCACTACATTACAATTGCATAAAAAATACTTCGCAGGTCGAGGTAATAGCTTATTAACTCTAAGAGTGTATCATGGGTCTCTAAATGTCTTAAAAATTAAAGCGTAAGAAAACCTGTGGCAACCCCTTTCTATGATTATTACTGTGTTAAATGAATGCCCGATCAGTATAGCAAGGCAGAGAACTCCGCCAAAGCCGCTGAAGGCCTACTAGACCGAGGCAGCCGCCCACATAAATGCATCTTGAAGCCTTGGCTAAGAAAAATAACGCTTTTTCAGTGGCCTAGGGACAAGGTTGGTAAGATCTATACTGAGCAAAACCGAACTTAACAATGCCCCTTCAACTCTAATTTTAAAAAATAGTCATCGGGCCCCCATTAGGGACGGCTTCGAATTACGTTTTTGTCCTAGACCATTTTTCCTGTGACGGCATATAAAGTGAATAGTGGTGATAAAACTGATAAACGATAACACATCCACGATAGCCAGTCGTCCCCAAGAGAAAACATGGCTTAAAGTCAAAGAGTGGTATGGATGTAGAGTTTCTTAATTGTTAATGCACGAGGTTCCAGAACAACGTCGCAATATTTAAAGAATGAAATCAAATTAATCGGCAAGCACCCGTTGCAAGACATGGTAAACAATCATGTAATCCACCACTCTCTTGAAATTCATGTGATGAAACAGGTGACTGAGGCGATTAACTGGATTGTGGATTTCATCATGTTATGCCAAGAAGTTCAATAAAATGACGATTATTAAGGGTTGTGCCCACTGTAGTGTGCTTAAAACATTTTCCTACTGTAACGACCACTATCTTCTCAGCTCCTGATCAAACCTCATGTATCATCGGTACATGAGAACCCATTAAAGTTCAGTACTTCGGCCATGGCACCATTGAATTGGTCTTCAAGTGCAGGAAAGTCTAAATTTCTATTGTTAAGCCGCTACCATGGCCTTACGTGCAGGATAAAGTTGATTATTTTTTTAAGTAGAAGGCATGGAGAGGAAATGACATCGGTCAGACCTTTTTTAAAATCTCCAACACAACTAGTGGCTTGAGCATAGCTGAGGACAAGTATTTGTCTATTTTGATAAGGAGGACCGCTCTATTTGGCGCTGTTTCAACCGCTGCCGGGGCTTCACCGCATAACATCCCTGTCCCCGTGGTTAAGTATCTAGATTCTTACTTTGGATTCGCAAAAGTGGCTCCTTGTATGTTTTCTTCATCGTTTATCCTCCAAAAAGCGTCGTTTTTGTATTTCAACTTTCTTGCTGTGCCACCAGATGGTAACGGATGCGGTACAAGATGTTTTTAGCCCAGAAGATGACGAGTTGGAATTTGCCAAGGACGTATCAAGTCTGTAAAATAAACACTTTTTTGTTTAAATTCCGGATCCTTATTTCGTTTATCGCTCTAGTAGTTTCATTGTATGATTATGCTTTTCCATTGTTTTTCTCTTTTTTTGTGTGGGGTTATATGCATTATTATAAAATACATTTCATTGGTAGTACGCTTGTACTGTTGGCATCTGTTACAACGCACAATAATGTTGTCCTTGCCGTTCTTGGCCAACTAGACAATTTAATTGATGGCGTGTGCACGCACCACATTGGAAGGTTCCGGCCATATAATAAGCGGGGACAGTTTATCTAGGAGACATTTGTATTGATGCTAATAACAATGTTGCCTGCGGTAGTGAGCAAGAAGGCAGCCAATAAATATTGAATACCTAATGTAAAGCTATCACCAGAACTCAACGCTACTCATGGAACCTATTATGGGTACTTTAAAAACAGAACAAGGCAAGAGGTGTTTCGTGACACAGCAAAGCAAGTAGAGCACGCGTCGAAACCCTTTTTAAAACTGTCAGACGCCACAACTAGTAGTGGGGTAGAGGTAATCCTTTTTGAAGAAGCTGAATTTGTTTGGCAAACACTAGTCTGCATACTACTTGCTCTTCTACAAACGCCTTGCCTTTCAATGTCGCGTGCTTAATTCAGGTGCAGAGAAGAGTAACGGCGTCCTCCACAGCTCTGGGCATGTGACCAAGGCTGGAACGTTCCGTGGTCGATTAGTTAATTGTTGGGCTTTTAGTACTTAAGTCAAGGATTGAATGTGCCTAAAATACGGGATAACGAAATCGTTTACTGTATATTAAAAATGTATACTAGCACTTGAAGTCCTGGTTTCTAAAATTTAATATATTAAAACCGGATATTCACACGTGGTGTTTACTGACTTAGTAAATTATGATCTATCTGGTTCGAATATTGTCTAAATAAAATCCTTGTACAAACTTAAAAAATTGATAGGCTTAAATCTGTCAACTTCTTATAACGTTCTATTAGTTTTATAAAGGAGATATTAATAATGGCTTGGAATTTTCTTGCTTCCGTGTTAGTTTGGCAATTCAATTAAATTTAGACGGTTATTAAAATTCATAATATTATTTTTCCTTTTAAATTAAAAGATTGATAACTGATAATATTTATAAAATTTTTTAGTGGCACTTTAACGATAACAATACAACTTGTTAGTTCAAGTAAAACACAAACGGGGTCTTTAATATAACAACTGTGCAATTACATTGGTATGTCTTATTTTATTTTTCAGTTTTATTTAAATGAGTTTCTATTTTAGTCTTGAGATAATTGCAACCTTTAACCCACTTCTCGTAGTTCTTACGATTTAATTATGCGCCATAATTATATATTATAAAAGGAAGGTAGAAACAGAACTTAACCGAATCACTTCGCACTTTACCCGGAAGGTTTTTAATCCCTCCAGCAAGTACTTTATTTGTAGTTTTATACACTGCTTCCGCACGCGCATATAAACATGTTTATAAGTGATGCCATTGGCTTTCAAATGGTATGTACATCCAACTTTTAGTTGGATGCGCATTTTTCGTAATGTACCAATAGAGCTAATATAGCTAAAAGGCTCATAGCGAACACAAATTAAGAAAATTTAAAGTTGTCAACGTTAGGGGTACTTCCTGTTTAAATCAAAAAGTTCTTCGAGTGACATTGAAGCACCTTTATTTATTTTCTAAAGTAATATTTTTCATGACTTGTTGTAACTCATACTCTCTTAGTTGTCATATACAACATTACGGCTGGGGAAAAAAAGGTACTTATTTGCTTTATTCATTGCTTTTAGTAGATTGTGTCGCAGCATACCTTCCTTGAACGTTGTTTCAGCCTTCTTATATTATATCTTTACTGTATTTGCCGACGCCTATTGTCTTTTTTCTCTTTTAAGTAATATATAGTTAATTTCTAATATATAACTACCTCAACAGGAAAGGAAAGTAAAGTAGCCAAACTTATGGGAACTAAAGCAGATCCCAATAAACCATATGCAGAGGTTTTTTTTTTGTAAGTATGGTATTTTGTTAAGAGGTTTTTATCGTTTACAACTGGAGAAAACAATGTATCTTCACTCTATAAATTTTGTTGTATCGTTAAACAGCTTTGGGTAGGCACGCATAAAAAGGGGCCGAGTTTTCTGAGGGAAACTAATATTCTACTCTCCGAGTACATTGATAAGGAAAAGGTTTTTATCTACTTACTAGGTGGCGAACTTCTCTGTTTAACAGGTCAGGCCTGAAAGGAAGCGGCTGTCGGTCGCCACTGCTATGCAAGGTTTGCAAGTGAGCTTCCTTTTTTGTTTAAAGTCCTTTCCATAAGGAAGACCCTTTCCATTCAGGTATAATACTTTTTAAATGTTTACTTTTTTTCACATTCAATATATTAAGTCCAGGCCCATCCTGATAAGTTGTTGGCCCGCGCGCTGCACCAGAAGGATCCTGCTAACTATCCAGACAAGAACCACAAACCTGAGTTAGCTATTGCTTTAGAGGACTTTGAGGGTTATTGCGGATTACTTGGGCCCTCTCTCTCTTCTTCTACAACTTCTCTGTCCGAACTGTAGCGCTCTGCGGCTTTCGAAAAGTCGACGCGATCCTTCACTTTTTTTCTCAGTATAAAGTAAGCCACTTGTGACCACTTGTTACCTAAGACTTACTAGTTCTTATAGGAATTCGCACGTGTGGTCGGTGAATCTTTCGTCGAGTCGTTAATACGCTCTTATGAAAAGAGTGATAAAGGTTTTTTTACGACTATTTTTAGCTCTTCATTCTCGTAAAAAGTAATAAGACTTACAGAGAAAGTGCCTAAAAGAATGCTTCACTCAATTGATGAATGCAGATGAGGTAGTAATTAAGCAAAGCTTAGCGGAACTCGTTTCTGCCTTGCGAGCGAAAGTGACACTTTTTCTTTTTTATTCAAGTCTATATTACTTTGAGTTTAAGGGTCTAAGAAACTCCTTAGAAGATCTTATTATACGAATATATAAAGACTTTTCTAGCGATCCTGGCGTGTTCTGCATATTATTTATGAATTACATCAAGCTTAAGCCCGGTAAGTGTCTGCGTTAGCAAGTAAGAGGAGCAACTGGTGAGTCCCTTTTATTCAGGCGATGCTCTCTTTGTCAGGCCAAACACTCCTCATGCGTATCTCTCGGGAGGTAACTCGAGACCCTTGCAACTGCTGTGCATTTTTATTTAATTCAAGATTATAGATTGTGTAGAAGCAATGGCCTGCAGCGACAATGTTGTCCGAGCGGGTTTGGTGCTTCTTGAAGGCTCCTGACTTGTATGATAACAAAGCAAAAGGGCTTACAGGCAAATTCAAGGACGTTTCCACCCTCTGCGACATGCTCGATTACAGCTCGGAAGTACTGCTATTGCCTTGCTAAATAATGTGGCCGTTATGGACCCTCTTTCCCAGGGCGTCGACGAATTTGTTGTGAGCGGGCGCAGTCATACCGCTAATGCAAGTTCCTCCAATCCGCCATCCCTTCTACTTTGAGTTCTGCTTGGCTGTAATTAAGCAGATCATCAAATATGCACCGCCCGTTGAAGAGTTTGCGGTCGATCGGATCCAGTTCGTCGACCCACCCCAAGCCTTTCAGTTGGAACCGTACGCTGGCCCAAGCATCCTTTTATGCGTATAATCCACAGTTCTGCATATGCCACTTTTGACAAACGCCATGCCACGCAGATCGAGGGATGCGCTTTGACCAATCTAGAGCCCGGCGGCTTCGTAGTAAAACGAGGTTGCTTACCAAGAGATGTTATGAAGTGTGGACCTTCTCATTTTAATAGGAACTATTCTTTTTATACCGTACAATGCCACCTTCACCCTTGCACCAAGCGCACCCGACTTTGTGGCCTTTCGGGTGTATTGCGTGCTTGGCAGCGGAGAGGAGCAGGCAAATGAGAGCAACGGAAAACAACAAATGTAATAATAAAAATCTAAACACTATTTACTGCACGTCGGAAGGATTGACTCTGTACCAATATATTTTGCGTTCAACGTCGCCATGTCTTGGGCCCTACGGTAACGATGTTTCTTATAGTCAATAGGAATAGGATTCGTTTAAGTATAGGAAAGTAAACCTCCGAAAAGTCATAAGAAAGCGAGAAAGCGAAGTTTTGTCCGCAATTACTAAAGCAGCATCTGTTTACTGGAGCAGGAGACCCATCACGGTTGCGCTGCATTTCAAAATGCTTCGTCCCTTTTTGGCTAGAAAGGACAGTAGAAACTACGGGCGTTTCCTGAAAAATATTAGGCCACAAGGAAACCTCACTAAATTCCAGAAGTGGATATACCCGTTCGAGCCGATCGTGGCTGGTTGTTATCAATGGCATCGAGGGTCATCTTTAATAAAAGCATGCAAGGTAAGTAAGTTGACCTAGCGTCCCAGTGGCTGGATGAAACTTGACGTCGTTGCAGGCATAACTCTTATTGGTGCCCACCTTAAAGCGGCCGTCGTCTCTGTGTGCCTTGAGCACCGAGCCGGACCCTCTACACAAATAATTTAGTACGAGAAGGCTTCTTGCGCGTTTGCATATAATACTTTGGGGCGTTTACAAGCTGAAAGCCAACTCGTCCGTCTATTCCACCGACGGCGTAACCCTCAAGGGTAGGCGACCACGCGATGCAGGTAGACTGGTGGCACAGTATGGAGTATCGTTGCTAATAAATCAACTGGTGAACGGCACTTCTTAAAAGTAGATTAAGTTTCCGTTGCACCAAGAGAGGGCCAGACATGTTGCGTAAATCGTACACGTATATATGCCTGTTGGAGGTGGCCACAGCTAAGAGATTGCCTTGCACAAAAGTTGACTTGAAAATATCGTCTTTTAAACTCCGACAAATTAACCTTTAACATCAGCATCAAAAATCTTTTGCTCTAAATTCAATTCCTTACTAACAGAGGAACTGCGCGTGTCAACCAACTGTAAAGATAAGGCATAAGGATTAAGAAAGCTCGGCTATAACTTCCGATTAAAAACACTTTTAAAAAGAAGTCCCAACTACCAGTGATCAAACAATTAACCTCTGCACTCCACTTGACGACTTTCACGGGCTGAGAATGCTATGAAGAAGCAGAATTGTAGGAAACGGCCTCCACAACTTTCTTAACTTTTTTACGGATGCCAAAGAAAAGCGCTTCTGTGACCGAAGATCCCAACCACTAACTATGTTATCACAAGACCCGGTGGCAATACTTTCGTTGTTCTATACGTGTTCTGCTAGTGTTAATATTAAGATAATACTTAGTATCAACAAATAATAACCAGCCAGTCATGACATAAGATCGGTGCGTTGTAAATTAAGTTAAAAATCACAGTGTTTGGGTCTTTAAGGCGCAAAAAGTTAATCTTTATTAAAAAAAGATAAATTAGATTATAAGGCGAAAGCAAAACCAATAAATCTAAAGATAAGGGTAGTGCAGACAAAGTGCCTTTCCACTCCAGTCCGTTAGACATAATATGGGTTCCGCATTTGGGCCCCCAGGGCAGAAGCTTAAGGAAGAAGTATCTTCTATAGTATATTATTTTTATTAAATGTGATTAATTTAAAAAAATTTTAAAAGGTTACAATAGAGAGTAGAAAAAAAAGGTGCCCAAAAAAAAATTTTACAGTATACTACATTAACAACAATATATATATTTAGTTATGAAAAAGGTTTTTATAAACTTAGCATTCGAAGTCTCGAAAAAAAACCTTCAGGAGAAAACAGGAATTGAAGACTTGAATTTGAAGAGCCTTGCACTTGAAAAGGAGTAGAATTTTGATTAGCAAAAGGATTGTATCCTTTAGATGCTAAAAACATTTTTCAGAAAAAAGATCAAGAAAGAATTAAAATATCCTAAGCTGTCAAGCATGAGAAACAGAGAGTTTAACAACTAAATTTTAAACTTGAATGGAATTGCAATTATGGCACGAGGATGAGTGGGCGACACGATGCTGATTTGTTAATTTTAATTTGCGTAGTAGTGATGAAAATTGTATTACTAACTAGAAAGGTTTGGTGGCAACGAGATGGGCAACTTGAGTAGGTACGCTGTTGAAATATTTAAATCAACTTAAAAAATCATTACAGTTTTAATAAATAAAAACGAGGAAAAGCGGTAAATTTCACTGATTAAATTATGCTCAAAAATCAGAAAGAGCAATTCTAGAAATTTTAGAGGCCTCAATGTAAAATAATAGCAGAGGAAGAGAACAGGACACTCTTTTGGGAAAATTGAGGCAACAATTTCTTCTCCATTCTAATGAACTTAAAGTGTTTGGATTTTAAAGCTATAATTTCTCAAAACAAGGATGAAGTGCATACTTATACTCCCTCTTGGAGTGTTCGCAGTGCTCTGCTTTTTTTTTTATAAAATTAATATTATAACACGACATTAAAGACAATTTAAAACACAATATATGAAAAACAAAAATAGAAAATAAAAATAAATATAGGTTCAAAAAAATATGTATAATTCGTTATGTATAAAGTACACAACCATGGAACATATACACAAACACAAAATGCAAAACAGTAGCCCTCTAAATTTTTACATAAAAATGATCCGTATTTAATCCAATCAGAAACCCGACAAACAACCAATAAAAATACAATAAAAAAGAACTGAATTCCAACAAAAATTTTATTTGATCTATCTTATTAACTGGATACAAACTAAACAAAGTAAAATTTTATCTGGTTCAACTGAATTATTGCGCGTATATGGAAGCGCATTACGACCTTTTGTAAAGGTATAAACGCAGACCAAGCTGGTCAGCAAAAGTATTCTTGACTTTAGTATACTCCCTTTGCACGCGTCTTTATTAAAAAATTTTGATACGTTACCTTTATGGTTCATCACTGTTTATAGTATAATTTTTGTAATATAAAGAAGGTAGTATAAATATAAATATACATATATATTAAACAAAAATAGTAGGGTTAATTGGCGAAAAGATAATGTATAGACTCACTGAAGGAAATCCTTTCTCTTTATTAAAAATCCGATTAACCTAGCTTCTAAGTCATTTTAGAGTGGGTTAGGAGATATATGAGGTTTTTTATCCGAATTTGAACTATCTATTTGTGTTAACGTTTCCGTTCTAGCATGTAAAGCTTTTTTATATAATCTGATGGAATTGTAAAAGGTTCATAATTGTCAGTCAAGTCTCAGACTAAGTTAGTATGAAATAAATGTAACAAAATTCATGTCATTGATTTTTTAAGTGCTCACAACGAGCAGAATTTGAAAGTTTACTTTTGCTGCACAATAGGAATAATAGCCATTACACTATTAACCCGAAGGCATTTCGGAATTTCTAAGCTGAAAGTGAACGGTGGCGGTAGTGCCAGTGCATTTTTTTCTAATAAGGAGAGTCATGTTCTTTGCTGCGCTGCGTTAATAGAGGAGTACAATGAAGACACTAGCTTATATGCGTTAAATTTCTACCACCCCAAAAAGTGGACGCCTACCTTTAGAGGGGAGGAAATCATTTTTTAAAGTATCGAGTCCTAAGAGGCATAAAGCTGTGACTCTTAAGTAATAAAAGGATGCTTTATGACCAATAAATTTTCGTCCCTTCGGCGTTTTAAGCGACCCGCATATAAAGGCTGACGGGCAGAGGCATGGTGTACGTGCAGAGCGCAAATAGTAGCAGTGAGTAAAAGAAAGCTATGAAAGCTAATATGTAGGTATTCCGCTCGTTCGCATGCCGAAGATTTGGCCGTTATGTAGGACTCGAGCATCTCTTTAAGGAAGTGCGAAATTTCTCGGCATGCAGCTTGCGTAACAGGTCTTCATGCCGCACTCGTTCAAAAGCCTTCCCGACAGCGTGAAAGACAGCACCAACGGTTCTCTTATAAAATTCGGTTAGGCGAAGAAGTTGTTAAGTCGTTAAGTTTCCCCTTTATACAAACTGAAACTAGTACAACTGCATCAAATACCTTTTCAATTGCTAAAAAGTTGATGAGTCGGTGCATGAGAGTCTTCGGGGGGCATATCGGTCTCGAACACCTGCCATTTGATCTAGGGAGAAGAAAACTGCTAAACACTACCTCTGAGTACCCTAGTGCTTACCTAAGCTATTAAAAAACGCGTCTCCCGGCTTACAGCTACCCCTATAGCGCCTTAAATCTTCTTTTTAACCACGAAAGTTGTCTATCGTAATTGCAAAACTAATTATAAGGCGCAAGTATAACTATATACTTACAATATTAGTTTCTTCCCCGTGCAGTGGATGCAGTTCAGTGACTGTAACTTAAACACGTAAAACCCTCATATGGGGTCGAGAGTTGTCGTCTGTAGCTAAGCGGTTAAGGGCATTGATGCGCATACTCAAGGACATGGGCTCGTTTCCCACCAGCGCGACTCTCTTTTTTGATTTTTGGTGGTCGCGTATTTTTTTTAACCTCGCCCTCATAAATCTAATTAGACTGCAGCGCTCATGAAATGCTCTGTTTTTCATTGCATTGCTTGGTGAGTGTTAGATAACGAAATCATCCTTAATTTTGAATTATTTATTATAATGACTTCATCTTCTCTTGAATCTTTCAAATAATATTTTAAAATATCTATCAGTCAACTTGTAACGAAAAAAAAAAGTAAAGTTGTGCTTCGTCTATCCATTGCAGTATGGTAGTGATAAATAAAAATATTAAAAAAATAATTTGAGAAAGTAGTATATATTATAACAATTATTATTATATTATTTCGGATCCCTTCTTTCCCCATAATTATTAGCAATAAATAAATTTGAAGGATTTACCTAACATTTTAAAGCTAACAATGTTTGCATCAAATTAAATTAAAGGATGGTACACTCATTAATATTAAAGGTACTCTAAGATATAGAAAATTTACTTCTATATTTGAGGCAAGTGGGCCCCTGTCGAGGGTATGGAGGTAGGCTTACGAGGAAACTTTACCGAACTATTTGATAAATTTATCTTAGAAATTAGAATTTTAAAATTTTCGTCCTTCTGAATCATTAGAATACGACGCTATGAGAATTATCCTGCACCTTGTCCTCGCTAAAATTCCTGTATAACCTCAGAGACATAAGCTACATAGCAGTTTTCTATGGAAATTCAAAGGTTTGCCTAAGATTAAGCAATGTTTTAGTTTTAAATTATAAAAGCTGGAAATTTTTCTGTTCCACAAGGTTCAAACGTGTAAAATGTAAACTTATATTATGAGAAAATTATAAAAGTCAAAGGGTGCGGGCTACTTAAAAAAAAGTTAAAAAATTCAAGGAGTTAATAGCAAGCTTACAACGTTTACTAATACAGGTGAATTGGTAACTAACTAGCTAACATTGGTCTAATGAAATTTTGAAATTAATTAGCGCTTTACTTGAAAACTCAGTAACTTGAAATAATTGCTAAATATCGCTTGGAACGCGGATGACATATAACATAAATTAATTACTCAGTGCTAATTGTATAATTATTCTCGTTTTGGAAACTTATTTTAAGAATTGGAAAGAAAAATGCATATAAGAGAAATAGAGGGACTGCAGATATAATTATTGAGTACTCAGCACACGGTGCGAAATATAAGTTAATATTAAAGCTTATAATCTATCAGGCCACACTAAATTACCACTAAACGAGGCTTTATCTTCTGTGCTAGCCAGTTGTTGCCAAGGAAGCCCCCTCTCAGCGTGTAATGAACCGTGCGAGTACGAAAGGAAACTCAGTAGATAATACGTTATCGCATGAGAATCAAACGCCTGTTCAAGTAGTACGTACTTGAGCTGTCTTATAATTATAGTGCGAACTTTATCGAGCTAAAAGCCAATTTTTTGAAACCCCTCATACTGCATTAAAAGTCGAAATGTAACATTCGACTTTGATAGTCGTAGGAACTTCTAAAAAATTATTATCATATAACCTTTAAGTTTTTGATGATCACCTCTTCATGTAATGCACTAGGAGCCCAGGTATAAGAAAGGTTGATAATTACAGTAGATGCTCCTTATAGTATGTAATTTGCCGTTAATTTTAATTAAAAAGTTTCTTTTAACATTTTTTTTAATGCAAGTTTATGTTTTAAGTAGCTTATAAAGTTTTTAACATTATATAGGAAAGTATTTACCCATTATACCGAGGCCTAACCTACAATTGGCAGCACAATTGGTATTTTTAGCCTGCTTTTATTGTTAATACTTAATAGAGTAACCTAAGTAAAATAAATGCTACATAAGGCAATTAGCTAATTCTATAAATATCTATCGTTTAATGAAATTCAGCTTCATCGAAGTTAAAATGGACAGAAACCAGTCTCAGAACAGAAATTGTGACGGCAATTGCAATAGCGGAAGCAAGGCGTCTAACAAGGCCAAGGACATGTTTAACGTAAGGATGTTAACGTCTAATTTTCACCTTATTTTCGTATTTCCTTCTTTATGCAGGAGGCCAGCCGAGGTAACACTCAAAATGCAAAGGAGTGTGGGAAGGAAGCTTATAATCAAGCCACCGAAAGAAATAACTAAAGGCTTCATTCCGCTTAAACTTAAAAGCGGGCTAATTATAACCATTTAATAAAATATTTCAATAATGTTACTTCTTTTGGTCTTACAAAGTTAAATTGAAAACATTTCTTACTTTATAGATCAACAAAAATAAAAAGGTATACCAATGGTCCCGGATTCAAAACGGGCTTAAAATAAATCACTCATTATACAGTCTTGGTTCACTGCTTTCAGTGGGCCTTACCTATTCTACTAGAAGTAGTTCAAGTATAACAACTGTTTTGGCCGAACTTCTTAATACGGAGAATAAAGATCCTACTTTAATCCTTAGCTAACAGACAAATAAAA